TTATTATTATTTTCATCTTCAAGTTGAACAGTTTTACTCTTTTTTTTATAAAGAAAACACAAGAAGCTGCTTCTTTTCCCAGCTTTGAAGATGGTAAATATATTTGAATATTCTTAAATTAGATTTTATTTGAAGTACGCCTAGCCAGCATGGAGCTTTAACTTGTAGTGTTTTGTTTCGGGGTCCAGTCCCAGGTCCCTGCGAGCCGGAGGACCTCATTGACGGGATCATCTTCGCTGCTAATTACCTCGGATGCACTCAGGTGCTGTCGGACAAAAATCCAACCAAGTCGGTCCGAATGTCGCAGGCCCACGAAGCTGTCAGCCACATCAAGGTAGTCCAGAACTTTCTGCTTCATCCAAATGACCCTCATAAGACACACTAGAAGCTCCCGTAAGCTAACAAGTGAGCAGCAGGCCTTCCACTGGGGCCAATTGCACAAAAGTAGGATTAATCCAGGACCCATCCAGGATACTGTCTGGAGGCCACACTCGAACAATTCTTGAACTTATAAACAAGCTTAATTGGTTGCACTGACGTTAAGCCCTGCTCAAACCAAGCCAGGTGTAAATCACCTAGCGTGAATGCAGGTCCACGGTTTGGCTGTTAGACCCTCTAAATGGAGCACAGATACCCTGATCACACACCCCGCATCCCCAGCGGAGCAACAATTAATCAATGACCATTAATTTTTTCATGTGAAGAGATGGAACTCATGATCACTAAAAAGCGAAGCACCACTGCCGTAATTAATCAAAAAGAAAGTCTGCAAATTTTAGCGGATCGATTGAATGCTTAGATAATTTCAAAAGCGTAAACTTGTTGCAAATCCATTTCCAAGTTATTTCAAAATGAACAGTTGATCACTTTGCCTTAAAACGATCAGTGGAAGTTAACCCACAGTAGGAAATGAACCATGGTTATTCATTGCACAAATTATTTTGTATTGTGGGTGGGCGGAGAGGGGCGGGGTCTGATATTTTAATGTAAAGTAAAATGAATGAGGCAGACGTACATAAGAACATTAAATAACTGTATGAAACACTGGTTTCTAATCAAAGTGATTGCTCAGAAACAACAACATCTCAAGCCTCGGTTAGATTCAGAAGACTAGTTACCATGCAAACATATGTTCCTCCTCTTTGGTGTAACCAAATCAAGGATTAATTAACACAAAAATCTCAGCTTAATTCTTGATCCTTTTTTTCCTGCTACGAACCCCTGCTCACCTCTTCCAAATGTGTGTTTTGCTAATGAGCTGAACGTGTGTTCTGCCTCTAAAGCATCACATCAAACACTGCAGATCAAGTCTGATTCAAATATTTATTTTAAAGAGCCAAGATGAAGACTCTCAAATGATGACAGAAGTGGACCTCTTCATCTCAACGAAAGCTGTTAAAGTGCTGAACGCTGACACACAGGTCAGTATTCTTCTGTGTACAGTCAGACACATGTTCATATGAAGGATTTCAGACGATCGGCGCGCCTTCGTTTCTTCTCTTCAGGAGACGATGATGGATAGTGCCTTGCGGACCATCTCCTACATCGCTGACATTGGCAGCGTTGTGGTTCTGATGGCACGGAGACGCGTGTCTCAGGCCTCCTCGGAGGATTTCTCCGAATCGTCCGACTCCAACAGCGAAGGGAAGAGTCAGTACAGGATGATCTGCTACATTTTTGAGTCTGAGGACGTAAGTGTGTCTGCGTTGCGCATTTGTTTTGTCCTAGATGTTGACCCTGTGATCGCTCTTTCACATCATCTGTGATCTCTCTCACTGTCCTGGGTAGTTTTTTCTGCTGAGTAGTTTTCCCCCCTCCTTTCTAACAGGCGCAGCTGATCGCGCAGTCCATTGGTCAGGCTTTCAGTGTGGCCTACAGAGAGTTCCTGCGCGCCAACGGCATCAACCCCACCGACCTGAGCCACAAACAGTACAGCGACATCATCAACTCCCAGGAAATGTACCACGATGACCTCGTTCACTTCTCAAACTCAGAGAACTGCAAAGAGGCAAGCTGAAATTTCCAAGTCCTTTTTTTTTTTGGACCCCCTTTTGGCGCTCGAGTGATCTAAACCCTGCTTGTTGATGTTGTGTTCCAGCTGTATGTGGAGAAGCAGAAAGGCGAGAGCCTCGGTGTGGTGATAGTGGAGTCCGGCTGGGGCTCCATCCTGCCCACCGTCATCCTCGCCAGCATGCTGAACAGCGGCCCCGCGGCTCGCTCCGGCAAACTCAGCATCGGGGACCAGATTATGTCCATCAACGACACAAGTCTGGTGGGGCTGCCGCTGGCTACCTGCCAGGGCATCATCAAGGTATGGAGAACATTGTCACACTTACCGTGTGAAAGAGGACTGTACATCATTTTGTAACACCAACAAAGCTGCAGGAGTTACAGAGAAAAGCTGTTTGTTTGTTTAATGGTAAAACTTGTCTCCAGGGTTTAAAGAATCAGGTGAAGGTAAAGCTGAGCATCGTGAGCTGCCCTCCCGTCACCACCGTCCTCATCAAGCGGCCCGACCTCAAGTTCCAGCTCGGCTTCAGTGTTCAGAACGGCATCGTGAGTAAAGCCTGACCTGAGGGTTGTTTGGTTTTCTGAGAAGGACGCACTGACGCACGCGTGCCGTGTGTTCCAGATCTGCAGTCTGATGCGAGGGGGCATCGCCGAGCGAGGTGGGGTTCGTGTCGGACACCGGATCATCGAGATAAACGGCCAGAGCGTTGTGGCCATGGCGCACGAGAAGATCGTTCAAACCCTGTCAGTCTCAGTGGGCGAGGTAAGAACTCGCACCAACACTTCTACAGGCAGACATTTTGAAAGGTTCTCTGAGTTACAGTGTCTCAACATGTGTCTCAATAAATGCTTATTCAAAAGCTGATAAAAATGCTCAATTAAAAGCTGATAATATCAATTTAAAAGATATTTGCCTGAACACAATCAACCTGTTTTTTTCATTTAGAGTGATTTTTAGGGGTTTAATTTGTTTCACTAAGTACAAATCATCAGTTTTAATGTACTTCTCTTTATCCACAATAATGGATGACATCATATCGTTATGGGAACTTTATTTATTTTAATGGTTAAAAGTAATCATGACAATCTTTTAAATTCCAGCACATTAGTTCTCTCCGGGTACTCCGGCTTCCTCCCACAGACCAAAAACATGACTGTCAGGTTAATTGATAACTCTAAATTGTCCCTAGGTGTGAGTGAGAGAGTGAATGCTTGTTTGTCTCATTTGTCTCTATGTGTGGCCCTGTGATGGACTTGCGACCTGTCCAGGGTGTACCCCGCCCCTCGCACTGTGACTGCTGGATATGGGCACCAGTGACCCACGCGACCCTGAAAAGGAATAAGCGTGTACAGAAAATGGATGGATGGATGGATGTTTGTTTTTTTGTCTGTTAGCAAAAGGCTTAATTAGAGACTGAACACATTTTAAAGAAGCATTCGGAAAATAATAATAAATCCTTTTTCACATTAAAATCCTTCAGTATATTGTAGCTCCACAAGCCCCTCTTTTACCACTTTTCTGAAGTGTGTGCCAGATCAATTCGTTTTGAGGCTGTCTCTTTAAGTCAGAACGTGGCRCTTCAAACCCCGCCCCACTCCGGCTTCCGGAGCGGGGAGTATGATTGTATAGAGATGCAGAAACATTTTAGTTACAAATTAATTGAAGATTAATGTCAACAGTGTCAACCTGAATGAAGATGACCTAATTGAAGTTGGTAAGTCCAGATCTTTTTGGTAATTTTGTTGCAAATACTCAGATATAATAGTTAGAAAACTTAACAGGTTGAATAATGAGACTCAAACAATATATAAAGATATTTACGCAGCACCTGGGTGAGACTAAATTCAAATTTTCTGCACTCCTAGAGGCTGTAAGTACACAACACAATGCACTTAATGGCTAAAAAAGTGGATTATGCATGCCATGTCCCCTTTAACTCAATTTTACAGATATTGAGCTAAAATTTAGTGTGATAGGAGCTGGGACTGATTCTCAAACTTATACTCTGAGTGCTAACTGATTGCGAATGGTCTCATATGAAATTGCGCAAAAGGTTTGACCAAAACAGCTACAAGTCTGTCATTTCTCAACACAAGATGCTTTTCTTATGAAATTCTGGAACAAATGCTGCAGGCGATGTAGGCCAGTAATTTTATAGTGGATTTTTATTTTCAAAACAAGCCAAAAAAACAATAAAAGCACTTTGAGTTTTACACTAATTACTATGTGATTGTTAATTTTTTTGATGTTCTCGGGAGGCCGGAGTGTGTTGTGAGCACAGCTTGCAGCTGATATAATGAGCAGAGGAGAGGCGAGTCAGCCCGTGTGACTGATGCGACGCTGACGACGGATGGCCTCTGAGTCATTTGCAAACAGTATGCCATTTTTACGCAGATCCATTAAACACATTTTGAAATATCACCCCAGCTTTTACTCGATCTGAGCAGAGTAAACTGAGCGTTTTGGTGTTTGTGTAATCACGTCGCTTTGTTTTTACTACGACGTGGCGGTGATTTATCGATGCCGCATCCTCTCCGTGATTAATGCACTTTTGTTTACTGCACTGACTCGGGCTGCAATTAACAAAATGTTCCAGCACATTTTGTTTTATCCAAGGTGGTGTAGTCATTCACAGATTGGATAAGCAGTGAATCACACTAATCTCATGGATGCTTTTTGCTTCATTTTTATTGTTTTATGTTATTTTTCCTTCTGTTCCCTACAGATCTAGATGTCATTGGCAGATGCTGTCCCATTTTTTATTTTATTTTATTTGGTCCTATTTCAATAACATGAAACTAGTAGTGGGAACTGCCCCCCCCCCCTCCTCTCCTCTCCTCTCCTCCCCTCTCCTCTCCTCTCACTGTCATTGAAAAGTGAGAAAGAGAGGAGAAGGGTGAATCAGAGATGTGTTATATATTATGAGAAGAGACTAAATGGAAACAGGGTAACCTCTGAGATCGATACAGAGCATGAAGAAGAGAGCCTCCAGGATGAAGTAAGAATACCAATCATGATCCTCCTTCTCTCTGTTTTACTTTATTTGTTCCCCCCCACTAATGTAACCTTTCTTGTCTTTCTTTGACCTCTTTTTGACAATATTAAAGTCAAAACGTAGAATTAAAGACATAGCATTCCTTAAAAACAAACAAAAAAAAAATCCACCATCATTCATGACAGAATTCAAATCATCAAATGCTGAGAAATGACAAAGTGATTCTTTGTCATATCATGGCACACTCAGAGTATGTGTTGTGAATGACTCTCAGCCACACTAAATTTTAGGTCAATATCTGTAAATTAATAGTAATTTTATTGTTTTATTCTTAGATGAATGAATAGCCATGTTTTTATACAGGATAATTGTAATGCAAATTTTAAGTGAAATTTTAAATTGTCGCAAAAAGAAAAAAAATATATATACATGTTTCTATCTACGGGTTTAGAGTGAATTAACCAGGCTATGCAAATTGTAATTTCGTCAGATATTGATTGTTAGGCATGCTGTAATAAAACAGGAGGGACCACACATCTTGGGACAATGAAGAGAAGTTTTCAGGAATGTGTTTGTCGGTCAAGTTGTAATTGTTCTGTCAAATCAACTAGTATTGACGATGTTACATGTTGTCTGGAGACGTAGAGAAAGAAACGTAGCTCTCATAGGATTATCCGGAAAGAAGCAGACAGAAGTAAAATATATATGTAAATATTCGCTACATCAGAGCTTTTTCGTCAAATGTGTTTCCATTTCCTCTTTTGCGCATTAACTCTTTTTCCGAAAATCCAAGAACTACTTCAAGTGAGCATAAAAACCTTTTTGCGAAATTAAAATCTTTTTTTTTTCGAATTTTGCTGTTACCATCAACCTTTTCTAATGCGAAACGTCAAAATGTGCATAAAATAACACTGATGGAAACACGGCTACTGAATACTAAGAGTTTCATTCAGCTCCATCCAGTGGTTCATGAGATATTTTGCTAACAAGCACAAACAGGCAATAAAATCATGGTTCCGCCTTTAGCTTTCAGCGGCAAAGCAAAGCGACAGMATTGGCTCCGAGTTCCACTGCCTTGCTGTTCCTCTCCAAACTTACAAAAGCAGCAGGGGGACCCAGTAAATTYCCTGGCCGAGCAGATAATGTGGAAATGTTGACAACAGCAAAATTGCGGCGAGTGAGTGATTTAAGGACTACAGCAGCTGACAGAGAGCGCGAGAGGAACGTTTTTTTAGCTTTTTCTCCTGCTCGTCTCCGACAGCAGAAACGAGCCCACTTGCCTGGGAGATCTTGTCAGGGCTTGTGGGCAGTTGTGAATATTTTTAAGCCTGGTTGAATAAAAATGTCACAATTTAAAAAAGTAATAGTTAAATATCTTCAGTTCTGATATAACAAATTGTCTTCGTCTTGAATTTTAAAGCCCCCTCGCATGAGTGATGTGATAGAAAGCAGAAGATGCATCAGCAGATAACCCTCCTAATTTTCTCCTTCTGAAACTCGCCGATGTTTCATCTGACGTCGTTCTCATTCAGCGCTGCTGCAGCTTTAACCTCGGCTAATGGCTTTCATGTCGCCTGCCACATTTCTAAGATTTTGATTATGATGAGTAATTTGACGTGCTCGTTATGAAAGAGAAATTCTTCCTTTGGTGCAATTACCAAACAAACAAACAAAAAACATTAATTCTCTTTAGTGTCAAATAGAGCTTGTTCTCATTATTTCCACAACCGTTTCTCTCATGTCTTTTTTATTTATTTATTTTATCCAATCAAAGAAAGAGCTGCCTCACTGGAACGGTCTCCCCTTAAAATATCAGAGCCATCCCTTGTTGTTAAATGTAATTTTGTCATATTTATGATCTAAAATTGGACACGTGTTCCAGCGTGTTGCCTTTACTGAGCCGGAGTGGATTGAGATCCTTATTTTTAGAGTGTCTCCTGACAGCAGCCGCAGCTAATGACTTTAGCAGTCTGCTGTGTGGATGGCTGCAGTGTCGTTTACAGGAGGGAAGGATTTCCATTTGAATGAGACTTTACTGGACTGGGTTGTGTTTTACGTGCTTTCACACTTAATTATACCCTTCTTGCRCTCGGAATTGGCGCATTTCCCTTTAGACGAAACACAAACATGTTGCAGATGTATTTAGATGCTCTAGTCAAACGTTTTGGTTTATAGACCAAAAGTGGTTTTAATTTTAAACACTTTTTTTAAAATCTCCACCCAACTTCAGCTTCAATACGCTGTACCTTAGAATAAAAAGTCACAACTCTTCTTTTTGTTGATTAATTTATAAAACGTGTGTAAACGCCTGCATCTGCATGCATATGTTCATTTCTGCCTGTTAGCATAATATTTGTTGCCGTGTGTTTACGGAGAATTTAAAGCATCTGAAGCCAGTTTTTTTTCCCTCTGACGAGTTTTAGTGGAAATCTAATTAATGAAGACGCAGCTGTTGCATAGAGAGAGATGTAACTTTCATCATGGTTCACAATAAATCTTGTATTTGTTTCACGTTTGTTTCTCTGTGATGGATTTCCAAATGCATTACTGGCAACTTGAAAGCCGCTGCGAGTTGATTTTCATACTGTTGTGAGTCGAGAACAAAGACTGCCTGCAGGTCAGGAAATCAGTACAATTAAATGAAACAAGATGTCTCCCTAACCCTTTCAAACCGAAAGTTTTGTTTAAAAAAATGTACCTCCGTTTTTATTTTTTTATTTTTGGAGGGGGGTGGGGTTTTGGGGGTTGTGGAAGACATAAGCCTGAGCAAATTTGAAGAAGAAAATGAGCATAAAATACAATTGTTAAATTAAACATTTAGCTTTTATTTTGAAATGCTAACTTTGCCTCCATGTTCATCAGGTCTTAAAATAGCCCCGTGAGGCTTGTGTTGCATTAATTTTAAAGGGCTTGGGAAAGAAACAAAGAAATGACTGTGCTGTAGTTTTGTTTCACTGAAGGTTTCAGCTGTTTTTGATCATTTATTAAATTCTGGTCTAGATCCAAGTTTACTTTTAATTCCCTAACATTATCATCTTTCTCCTAAAGCAGTAAAGAAGAAAGAAACACTTGTGCTTTATGACTTTTTACTAAAAGTTGGAAGACTTTTTATCAT